GAGGCCGCCTTTCGTCCTGGCGCCGGGTGGTAATCATGTTGCTACACGATAGATTGACTGCTTGGAACCATTGTTAGGACCGAGGACTCTTTGGGCTCTGATCTTGAGGGTCACAAGCGACAGCGAGCGAAAATGTTTGACCCCTGAGAGAACGCTCGAACCGAACGCCCGTGGCCGCTGGGACGGATGATGCCAGTCCTGCCGCGAACACTTCCCAGATCATGCTGGGAGGAGGAAGAGGAGGGAGGGGGGGGAGGAGGAGGAGAGAGGAGGAGGAGGAGGAGGAGGAGGAGGAGAAGCAGGATGAGGAGGAGGATCACGAGGAGGAGGGGAGGAGGAGGAGGAGGAGGAGGAGGAGGGAGGAGGAGGAGGAGGAGGAGGAGGAGGAGGAGGAGGAGGAGGACGCGAGCTGCGGGCGAGGACCTGAGGGGGACGGGGCGATCGTGGAAGACGCGGGCGCGCGCTGCAGGCGGGGGCCGCCTAAGGGTAGCCGTTGACAGGCCGCGCGCCGCCGCGTCCCGCCGCGCGGCCCGCGCGGGGCGCGCCGCGCCCCGCCGCGTCCGCTGCTGCCAGAGCCCCGGGGGGTGCGTTGGGAACAGCTCCTCCTCCACCTCCTCCTCGTCATCCTCCTCGTCCTCCTCCACCTCCTCCTCGTCATCCTCCTCCCCCCCTCCTCTATTTTCCTCCTCCTCCTCCTCCTCCTTGTTCGTGCTAATGGTCTGAAGGTTCGTCGAACGCGGCCGTGCCCCTCCCTACCCCACCCCCCACCCCCGGGGCGGTCGCCCTTGTGGGGGGGTATCGATCAAACTAGCTGTCTGCAGAAGCAGGGACAGAAAAAGAGAGGCCATCCAAGGACCGAGGTGAGACCCTGCGGGCCCTGGTGATGGCTTCCGGCCGTCGTGGGCTGTTGCTCGGCCTCCACCCCTTCATCCCGCCCACCTCTTGCTGAGAGCGGGGTGGTGTGAGGGCCTCTCCCCTCCCATCGCAGGGCCCCCGCAGGGCCGCTCCCTGGCCAGCCCAGGGTGCCCGCTGCCTGCCGAGGCGGATAGAACGTGTGCCTACGGGCGGGTGGTGTAGCGGTTTTTGGGGATGCTGCCCACTGGCGGAAGGAGAGGTTCACGCCACCCCTGGCGGCGGGTTGGCGGCTGCAACGCTCGTGGCCACCAGGCCCGTCGCGCGCGAGACGCCCCAAGGATGTGGGGCACAGACTCCTCCTCCACCCTCTCTGGATACTTCCCCGCCCTCCCCCCCCCAGGGAGGAACACCGAGAACACCATGACGAACGGGTGGCCAACTGCAGGCGGGCGCCGACGGCGCAGAGGTTGGACTTCTCTGAAAGCAATCGGGTGGAGCGGAGGCCGGAAGAGGGCGGCTGGGGGGGAGAAGTAGCAAGAGGAGTGGAGTGAGGAGGAGGAGGAGGAGGAGGAGGAGGAGGAGGAGGAGGAGGAGGAGGAGGAGAGGAGGAGGAGGAGGAGGAGGAGGAGGAGGAGGAGGGGGAGGAGGAGGAGAGGAGGAGGAGGAGGAGGAGGAGGAGGAGGAGGAGGAGGAGGAGGAGGAGGAGGAGGGAGGAGGAGGAGGAGGCAGAGGAGAGGAGGAGGAGGAGGAGGAGGAGGAGGAGGAGGAGGAGGAGGAGGAGGAGGAGGAGGCGGAAGAGGAGGAGGAGGAGGAGGAGGAGGAGGAGGAGGAGGAGGAGGAGGAGGAGGAGGAGGAGGAGGAGGAGGAGGAGGGCGGCTGGAGGGGTGGCAAGCGGGAAGACGGGGGCGGGCGCTCGCTCAGGAGCCCGAGCCTCTTGCCGTTGTTTAGATCAGTGGAGGCTCACCACCGCTGCGAACTGTTTATAACGTTGGCCCATTCGCTGTCTTGGCGCTCCTTCCCTTCGGTCGCTGCGTGAAGAAGTTGTGTAGGCTCGACTTGGGGTCAGCCGCGTCCTCCCGCGGCTTGACCGGCCCTCCGAAACAATTCCCCAATCAGAGCTTGCCTCTGTAGGGGTCCTAGCGGATTCATATGGTTAAGCGCGCTTTGCCACCGATGTCCGCGGCCCGCCCGGTTGCCCGGGTGCCTCATAGCCCAATAGCCTTATAGCCCTATAGACCTATAGACTTCTAGCCCTACAGCCCTATCGCCCCAAAGCCCTTTAGCTCTATAGCCCTATAGTCCTATATCCCTATAGCTCAATAGCCCAGTAGTCCTATAGCCCCATAGCCCTGTAGCTTTGTAGCCCTACAGCCTGCCTGATAGCCTTATAGCCCTGTAGCCCTATAGCGCTACATCCCCATGGTCCTATAGCCCCATAATCCTATTTAGAACGGATGTGCGCGGAGCCAAGGCGAGAGCCACATTTTGAAAACCACCTGCCCTCCATATGTGGAACTGCTGCCAACTTCTAAGCTCCAGAATCATGAATGGTGAGTAAGTCTCAGGCGAAACGCCTGGCCCGTCCTAAAAACTGGCCTCGGGGTGCGACAGGGAGAAGTTATGTATTCCCCAATCAGAGCTTGCCTCTGTGGGGGTCCCAGCGGATTCACAATCTGAACTTGCCTCTGTAGGGGTCCCAGCGGATTCATTCCCCAATCAGAACTTGCCTGTGTAGGGGTCCTAGCGGACTCATATGGTTAGGTGAAATTTGCCACCAATTTCCGCGGCCCGCCCGGCTGCCCGGGTGCCTTATAGCCCTATAGCCC